AACAGGCCTGTAGGAATTGCACTCAGCCCACCGTCATGGTAATAAATACAGCCGAACATCATATCTGGTGCCGGAGAGAAGCTCAGCTATATCACAATGCCAGGAAACTCATCAGAGACTTGTTCAGCTGTACCAGCCAAACAGTGCTCGGCATGTGTTGTCGAGCTACCTCCTAACATAAGCCCCCCCCCAATGCACATGTTTGGTGCTCGGAAAGGGTGCACTCCAGCCGAGGACTGTTCGTGCCAAATATTTCTCATACGCCGAACAATTCTTGTCGGATAATCCCCCATAATGGTTGAAGAACATTGCATCATCCTGACATTGACACATGGTGCCTTTGGATTGGTTGGAATCTCAGCGGGAAACAGCGACTGTGATGCTTCAATTTTCCTGCCTTGGCGCTTATAAATAGGCCCATTCATTTTTCAGATCATGAGAGAACACATTGAGCTAAGTCGAGCAGTAATTGTGTTGTGACTTGTGTTCATGTGTTCGAGTAACTTTCGAAGAGAATACAACTAAGCATTCGAGCACTAGGTAATCATGAGCGACATTTCTAATTCCCAGAATAGGTCTAATTCTGAGCAATCATTTTCTTCGGACTCTGGTTCGAGCTAATCGTCTTCTTCGAGCTCGAACGCGAGTCCAGAGGTCGAGTCAATGTGCCGAGGTTAAGCAAGTAGCCGCCCGATCACCTATTCAGCCGCAATGGCCTTCCTTATCTCTAAGCTTGACCCGACCTCCAAAAGAGGCTGCCAGGCTTCGAACTATCCTGGCAGCTAATGCACGAACGATCCCCGACCATGATTTTATTAATATGGATGAGGACCGAAGACTTCTGAGGATGTCCAGGGACCAGCGTCCATATTTGGGTGTCCTTCGCCGACCACCAAGCAGCACAAAAGTTTGAGCCATGACCCTTTTCAGCGAGGGCGCAATTGATGTCCTAGCCCCTTGGCCGAAGGAACTCAGCATCAGCGTCACCGAGCAAATGCCTATATCAACATCAGGGGCTAAGGCCTCATCTGAACAAGGAGATGAAGAAGAGGACCCTGAAATAGAGGCCCTCTATAATGAGCCCAAACTTGCTCGACATTCTCAGAATAGGAAAGCCATTCGCAGCCACGCTCAAGTTCGCCTGCAGACTTCGAATCTCGGGTTACGGAGCAGACGTTGGACGACCTCCGTCATATGTACAACATCCCCAACAATGTTTTGCTCCTGGCCCTTGGGTTGAATGATGACCCGACCAACCCACCCCACCAGACAACTATGTGACCCTTTACATCTAGTTCTTCGGTGCCGGGATAAGGCTTCCTTTCCACTCATTCTCACGTTGGGTTCTTCCTAGGTTGAATGTGTTGGTTTTCGAAACAATTTTAGATGCGGAAGCACGTATCTAGCGGATTGCGTATAACAAAAATTTTCATAAAACTTTGAGATACTCTATAGATTACATTAATTTATGCACAAATAAATTAATCAAATTAATTTATTTACCTAGCGAACGATTAGGTCGATAACTTGAGTTCTTTGACCACGAATGTTCCTCGCTCTAAGCTAGCTTAGAACACCCGAATCTTTCTCGTCAATTCCTTGAATCTACAAAGACGTGTGTATGGGCACACCTAAAACAAAACGGACTTAGCAAATAAACACTCAAGTTTTCCACGAACACCAAGACATGCACGACGTGGAATTTAGGAGAAATGTTTCCTTTCAACACTCTATAAAATTTGGTCACCTATGCTAGGGAGAGTAAAAATTGTGTTCTCTAATTTTCTACAATCTTCTATTTATAGAGTAGTAGTCAGACTCCCAAAAGAAGTATAATCTTTGTCTCTAAGATAAAACTTGATATTTATCTCCACTTCAAATTGAATTTGGAAACAAAATCTCTCTCCCTTATTCACATATTGGCCGGCCACCTCAGGGAATTCCTCCATGTGGTAGGCGCATACAGTATGTACAAGGCAAGGCAAATTTCAACATTTATCCTGTAGTTCAATTTTGACTCAAATTCAAATTCTAATTTAAGTCAAACTTAAATTATCAAATAAGTTAAATGGATAATTTGGAGAGCAAGCAATTGAATCTCAAAGGGATTCACACTATGCTGGGCGTTGACACCATGTGAACACCTTCACATGTGTGTTCTAAAATTCAAATTTAAACTTAAATAATCACATTATTTAATAATTAATTTTCAATTAATTATCCTTGAGTATTTTATTTTAGAATTTTATAATTCTAAAATTTTCATTTTGCCCTTAGTGTCTTGTAGGATTACAAGAACGACGATGGACTCATGGACCTATAATGTCGAACTCCAATAAAACTAATAATTGATTAATTCTATTAATTCTGAAAGTTACTATTATAAACTTGGAATTGCACTTTCGTAATTATAGACATAAATTATTTTTAAACTGTGAAGTGTCTATTTGATATAGTCATTACATATAAATCAATCATCCATAAATAACTCATAATTAGAGTTATGTGAAATTCGTTAACCTCTCTCATTACATCATTATCATTGAGTACTATAGATTCTCTAATGGATAGTGATTCATAAAACAAATTCATGAATCGAAACTCCTACTAATCTAAGTACCGAATCAACCCTTAAGGAAATTATTTATCTACTTATTTTTCAAGAATGAATGGTTTCCATCTTGTATAATAACATTATCGACTACTCACTTCATCATGTTTCTAAAATATAAGGAATATGATTCAACATCACGGAATCCGTACCGAGTAAATTAAAAAACATAAATCGTCAAATATGAGTCTGCAAATAACTCATGATTCAAATCATTCTATATATGATCATCAGTAGACTCAATTAGAATTTCTATACTTAACAGAAATTATCAGAAATTCATATTGTGTCTATATCTCTGTTCCACATAATCTCATTATGCGTAATATACTCATTCAATATCTCTCCATATTAACAGTGCATATAATACCGTTTCATTCTGAATGAGAATGACATGTATTAGTAATATTTTAATTAAAAATTTTGAATTTTAATTAAATTTATTACGAATATTGTTTTAATTATTATCCTTAAATATTATCTTCTCGCATATAACACTTATATATAATATTTAAGATCACATAAATAATCATAGAATTTTCAATGATATTTATAAAATATTCAATAATATATACACATAAAATTACTAATAAACTCTTTTATTAAATAAATAATAAATATTATATTATATTTCATGTTTCTAAGACACCATTTTTAAAAAAGAAAAAAAGTTGCAACATAATAATTATAAGGGTAATTAATATAAATAATCACTAATCTCTTTAGTAGGTGATATTTTAGTTATTATTTTTTAATTTTAACAAAATGATCCCTAAATTTTTTAAATTGATGTAATTAAAACATTTCTATCAAGATCTATCCAAATAATAACAACATAAGTCACGTACGCCTCATGTGACCCCCTTTTACCCTAGAAAAAACAAAATTGTCCTGAAATTAGTTTTGTCCACGAATTACTCTCCGTTTATTTAGCTGATTCGAGTTTAGAATTTGAGTTTTTCTACAGTAAAAAGCTCTCATAAACAATCACATCTAACTTGTTTGTTACAGTAAAAAGCTCTCACATAAAGTCACATCTCAACTCAAATTAAAAACTCAAATCAACGAACTAAAGTTCAACTTCATCATTTTTAAGAATGATCATTTTTAGGAATGAATTAGGGTTTCAGAAAGAAAACCTCAGACGTAAATAACAGCTGAAAAAAATCTGAACCCTACAATGATGTCTCTGGAAGATTCGCATTCCGGTTCGACCGGGTTCCTTCGATGTTGCCGTTCCCATCTCTTCATCCATATTGAGCTCCTTCTAATTAATAGAAGTATTTGTGAATGAGAGTGAGAGATAGAGAATCAACAAAGGGACAAATTGTTTGAGGTTGTCATGACTGAGTGGGTTTGCGCCTTGTTTGGTTTCTAATTTCTATCAATAAGATTACAGAGGTAGAGAGAGAAAGAGGAGAGAGAAACGATGATTGGTTTCGTTTTGGAGATTTGGGCATTTTTCTTATTTGAAAAATGATTAGATTTTGTTGGAGATTGCTCTATTTGTTAAGCGTAAGGAGCTAGTTGGTCTGGGTTCGTAAAAATTTGGGTTTTTTTTTTTTTTTTTTTGGCTAATGAAAAATCTGGGTTGGTAAAAAATTGGGAATTTTGGTGAAGTTTCTTGATGCAAATTTCTTTAGATCGATTTTGCAATTTTTTTTAAGATTTTGGTTTGAAGAATTTGCTGGTCTTGCAAACAAGTTTTTGGAATTTTTTTTTCACACCAAAAAAGAGTTTCTGGGTTTTACAGCAACCCTTGTGTATTTTTTTCCTCTTTTTTCCGGATTTTTTCAATGTTATTTTGTATTAAAATATAATTATGGTTATTTTATCAAAATACCCTGTTTTACTATATGACATGTCCTGCACGTTATGTATTCTATTAAAAATTTGACAGAAATGTCTAAATCACACTTAATTAAAGAGTGTGGAAGTGTTTTGTTAAAATTAAAAAATAACGATTAGTTTGTCACTTATTAAAAAGTTTAAGGACTATTTATGTCAATTAGCCTAGTGAAAAATAGGTACCTGTATAGGACTCTCGACGACGTCGTATAGTGTCGGTAGATTGGCATTGTAGATACATGGCAGACGTCAATTCGCTAATTAAATTTTGAGTGTTTGGTACTGATATCCAAGGGTCAGAATTATCCCGCAAAACACACCATCAAGCTAAATCCAATTAATAGTCAACACGATCACATTCTAATACTAATATTATGTGGTGGCCCACAAAATATATAATAGGGTAATTTAGACTGATGATCCTTACTTACAATTTGATTCTTAAATTTTTTTTTTGGTAAAATGACCCCAACTTCTTTAAAATGTGATAATTTTATCATTTTTGTTAAATTTTTAACATAATATATCACGTGACCTCCTTTTCAGTAAAATGACTTAAGTGCCCCAAAAAAATTATCCATTTCTCCTCAACATTACGATCATCTCCATTAAAATCCCCAAAGGGAGGCGAGCTGGAGGGCGGAGGTTCAGCCGGAGAAGCCGTTGTGGGAGGTCCGGTCGTGGGAGGCGGAGACCGGTTTTGCAACGGGTTCTTCTGCAGGATTTTCACAAAACAAGTTCTCATCAGAGACCAATTCAATAAATCTGAGCTTTATTTACTATTATTGAACCAACAAACAACACAAAAGCCCTATATTGAGAAATACAAGTCTCCATAACAAAGCACACCATCATGAACAAAAACAATAATTAAACTTGGAAAAACCAATTCCACATGAGTACAATTCGAATCACTAATCACAATTACGAAGATCAACATTAACGGAATTTGAATTCTTATGGTGCCCTAAGCGCCAAACAAAACAACAAGAGCAAGCATTGTGGAAATATAGAGAGACATAGACAATGGCGAACTTGGAAAATCCAGGTAGCTAAAGATCCACAGGAAAAGGAGCATAATTTGGAGTAACAATTACAATTAAAATCAAGCAAGTAAATTCTCATTGCAATTAACATCAAAGGAAAATCATCGTTGTGCCCCAAGCCCCAAACCAAAATCAAGAGCAAGCATTGAGGAAGAAAACGGAGAGAGAGAGAGAGAGGAGAGGGACCCTTGGGAAACGGCATCATATGCGTGGATATCGAGATGATTCAATCGGAAAGTGTTGTCGTTGGCGGGAGTGGCCATCGTCTGCTCGCTCCGGCTCGAAGGCGACCCAACGCTGCCGCTCATAGACATCGACTGCCCCGACGCTGTCATCGTCGTGATCGCGCCACCCAGCCCCGAGATGTCGTCGCTGTCATCGTCGAAGGCAGCGAAACCGGTCACGACGAGCCGGGCCGTGGTCGGTACCGGCGCGGCGGAGGCCGGAACGTCATCTCGAAGGACAACATTACCGGCGAACGGACGGAGACGGAGAGGAACCGGCTGGTGTTCTTCGAGGGAGGGATTTACAGCTTCGATTTGGAGATGAAATTTGGGGAAAAAAGAAGAAGAGGAGGCTTTTCAAATGAGGGCATTTAAGTCATTTTATTGAAAAAAAATTTGTTACGAGTCACGTGATATGTTCCCTTAAAAATTTAATAAAATTTGTTAAAAATGATTAAACAGTCACTTTTTAAAAAAGTTGGAGTCGTTTTGCTAAAAAAATTAAGGATTAAATGATTACTTACTAAGAATTTGTTTAGGAGACGTTTGGTTCATAGATTATAATTATTTTTTATTTATGTGTATTTTTTATGAGAGAAAACACTGTAGCAAACCATGAACCATGATTTGAATCATAATTCATAGTTTACTACAGTATTTTCTCTCATAAAAAATACACGTAAATAAAAAATAGTTCTAATCACATAATTCTAATCTATGAACCAAACATCTCCTTAGTTTACTTATTTGAGTTGAGATGTGACTTTATGTGAGAGCTTTTTACTGTAACAAAAAAATTAAATGTGACTTTCTGAGAGATTTTTATTGTATCAAAACTCAAATTTTAAAATTAAATATGTAAAATGAACGAAGTCTAAGTGGACGTTTAATTTATGGATTTAAAACCATAATTCAAAATTATTCTCATTTTATGTGTGTTTTTTTATAAAAAAAAATACTATAAAAAATTATAAATCATAATTTAAAATTAAAAATAAATACAAAAAATAAACATATATTAACAAAATATTTAATTTATAAATTAAAATAATATAATTCAAATTATTTTTAATTTAAATTATGATTTAAATCCTCTAATTAAATAATTAGTGAATTACCGTATATAATATTATTATTGTCTCCCCCTTTAACCCTTCCCTTCTCTGAAACAGCAACCATCCCAAGAAAGTAACCTCCACAAACAAAACTGTCCCTCCCTCTCTCTCTCTCTCTCTCTCTCTCTCATATCAGATCGGACTGAAACACTACACACCCAAAGCACAGAAATTATATTATTATTTTCTCAAAAAATAAAAATAATAAAAACTAATTAAATAAAGTCTGAAAATATTCGGCATTTGAAGAGAGTTTCACGTAACCTTCGTTTTCTGAGTCTGTAGCCCTGCTTGTTAATCGGAAATGAAGGATGAAGATGGCCTTCCGACGACGACGGCGACGGCGAAGAAAGAGAGCTCCGACTCCGGCTTAGCATTTGGTAAAGGAAGGTACAAGTTCTGGGCGTTGGGCGCGATTCTGCTTCTTGCGCTCTGGTCGATGTTCACCGGCACCGTTACTCTCCGGTGGTCCGCCGGCAATCTCAACCGCATCTCCGACGACTTCGACGCTCCAATTCACGACGATCTCGACGTCCTCGTGAGTTTTATGTTTTCCTATTTTTTTTGCTTTTATTTTTTTTAAGGAAATTGTGAATGCGTCTGTGTTTGAAGGATTGGATCTTGGGTTTCTTAGCTTGGATCTCTGATTTAGGGATTTTTTTTGTGGTTTTAGGAAATGGAGGAGAGAGAGAAGGTAGTGAACCACATGTGGGATGTGTACACCAACAGCCGTCGGATCAGATTAACGCGGTTCTGGCAAGAGGCGTTCGAGGCTGCCTACGAGGATTTGACCAGTGACGTTCCTGGTGTTAGAGAGGCCGCCATTTCCGAGATCGCTAAAATGTCCGTACGCTCCATCGATCTCGATCCACCTCCTGTCCAATCAACGGTTCGTAATCCATCATTCTGTTATTTTTTAGTTAATGTTGTTGATTGGAGAATAGTGACCCTAAATTATTAGCTTTCACTTTTGATTAGAAGTGATGTTAATTTTGCCTTAAGAGGATCTTTTGCTTCGTGCTTACTTAATGTTATTGGGATGTTAATGAATTTTAGGATTTATGGTTACGCACTATTTCGAGAATGGTAATAACGTGGAAATGTAGTTATGCACTCTTGCGTAATTGTTCCGATTCCGAGTATGGTGACAAATCTACACTTTAATTAGCAGCTTTTGCCTTTTTGAGAGTAAGAATTGGTTAAGCTATCCGTTGTGCTGGATCCCAGTTACATACCACTTTTGGAATGTAGGAACTTTTAGTACAGTTTTAATTTCTATAATCAAATCGGATTGATTCCACGTGCCTTGTTGTCGCCCGGATTAACTTTTGGGAAGTTCTCATTATGCAGATAAAGCATTGAAATGGGGCGAAACAGGCCCAGTGAGTTACAAACCCAGGCTTTTAGGACATTCTGGATTGGCAATGTCAGCCATCATAGATTTGTGCATACTTGTTTTCTTCTGGGTTGAACAGGACTCAGTTGGTAGTCTTTTTTGGTGCGGTGCCATTGCCCATGTTTGTATCTGTTTGCACTTTGGGTGTGTGACTGTGTGTAGGAATACTTAGAAACCGTGAAATACTGTAACAAATTTGATGATGCTCCTTCATGATTCTAATTACTAAGCTTCAACACCGGATGGTGGATTATGTAGTGTTCTGGAATCCCCTGGAACATGCTGTAAATTTGACGCTATAAGCTTGCATACTTACATTGTATGTGGTTATATACAAAATAAGAAAATTGTTGCCAGTTTCATCCGCTTCCAAACCGTCAATTGTGAGTCTTTAATATATAAGTATACACACACACACACATTCCAATGAGAATAGTGATAAGTTCTGTTATGAGTAAATCTTTTATCTAAACTTGTATCTGGTGACTATTGATTACTATGGTTGCCTGCCTGAAATAATGTAACAATGGTTGATGTGGGTATGGAAATTCACAATTGGCCCTTACTTTGAAGACTCGAACTATATTATATTTGATTTCTTTTGACAGGTTTTGATCATATATTGTTGAAAAATCATGTCCTTGTATGCTCTGTTCATTGAGCTTGCAAAATTCTAGTTTGGTATGATGCAGTATTTTAACTAAAAAGTTAACAACCTAAAGATATTGGAAAGGAAGTGAATCAAACTAGTTTTCCTGTCAATTGTTCATGCTCAGCCATATTTTTGTGCTTTCATTATTGGATGACTTGCTGTAATTTCTAAAACAAATTTCTTCGGTCCGTGTTTCCTGTCCATATTATCAGAGTGCACGGGAACTAACCAAGGCTTTGAGGCAAGCAGATAGAGGTGGAGAAGTGCTGAGCTCAACAAGAAGTACTCGGTGATGGGAAGAATGTAGAAGTCAAGGGTTCAGATCTTCATGATTCTGCAAAACAACTGCTCATGTGCTGCACAGAATTTGTGAGTGGTAGTGGTGAGCAGACTATAATGGGTTAAAAAAAAAAAAGGAACCATACTGGGTTCTTCTATGTTATCACAGCTGGGGGAAACTATGTATCTAATTAGGTTATCATTCTTCAAAAATTTTGAATGTCGCAATCTTACTGTGTGGGTAGTAAACTTATGACAATCTTTTGAGCAGACAAGTCAAAGTGAAAGAATTTTGCTATGATATGTTTTTTTATTTTTTATTTTTATAAATCAAGTGAAGAATCTTGGTCAAACATCATCTTTAAGTTGCTTTACTGTGATCCTACTTCTGAGCTTAGACGTTAACATTTTATTGTTGGTATTCCGTTTTTGTAACATTGTTTGTTCTAATAACCTAAGCCTTTTTTTTTTTGACCAAGACTGTAGAAGCGCTTTAGATTTTGCATGTGGGCTTCGCCGGCTGTCTATAGTAAGGGTTTTGATTAATAATGGTGTATGTCACAATTGGCATTGTCTTAACGGTGCTTCTTCCATGTTTCTATACTACTTTCATATCATTATTCCGAGGTTTATCGTTGTTTAACAGTTGGTGTCGTTTCTCGTTCTTCTCAAATCGCACTTCTGTCATTTCATCTAAGATTGCTGTTCGTCTGTTTTTCATTGCATTGCCGTTTTTCCTTTCACATTTCTAACATTTAATGTCGTTTTTTCATGGCTTTTTAATGTACTGTTGTTTGATCGTTTCATGTTGTTTTCGAACGTTATGGCCGTTTATACAGTTGTAGTTTTACTTTTTTTTTTGGGTTGGGTATGCTGTGGGTTCTTACTATGGTCGTTTTTCTTTTTCGCGTTCTTTCCAATGTTGATGCTGTTTTTGTTGTTCTTTAGGTTACTATGGTTCATAACTTACTGCGATTTTTCATTTGTGGGTCGTTTTCCAAGTTAGGACCCTTTAAGAATCTTATTATCACTTCTACGTCTAAATCGGACTCAAATCTGTCACAGGAATGATGTATTTTAACCTAAAAAAGTAATTTATTTATGTAGGAACTATTTAAAAATGGTATTTCCTAATTCACCAGGACAGCAAAAAATTAGATTGTACAACGCTTTTAAAGTTTAGTTATTTCCAATACCGTTTTGATAGAAAATTAAGCATATGATATCCACATGATTGGTATATTTGATTTTGTACTCTCAAGAAGTGGATTACTTCAATTCAACACGTGAAGAGACCTAAATTATGAACTCATGACAATTTTTTCTTGTTGTACCGTAGATAAACGAAATAAGAACGAACCCCCTTTTCTATGAAAAGAGAACTTATATTTTAGGATTTATTTACACTGGCATTATTCATCCTGATCTTATTCCGGCCAAAAACTGATATATCCAAGTTGAATGCCTTATATAAGGTGGGAAAGTAGTACTCTTCCTCAAAATTCTCCTATCCATCCGGACCATACTCTGTCCGAGTGTTGATATGTCCGAGTCACAGTAAGTTGACTATTCTGATTGTGTCATATGGTCCTCAACTCCGATTGTTACGATATCCCCATTGCTCTCGTGTGATTTGCTAGGATTGTACAAAAAACTGTAAAACCGAAACCGACCTCAACCGACCGCTCAAAAACCGAAAACGACGGTGCCACGTGGAATCGAACACAATCGGTTCGGTTAACCGACCGAACTACCTCAAAATCGGTTCAGTTTCGGTTTTGTGTTTAGAGGTTCGGTTAAAAACCGAACTGACCGAGATGGAGAAATTTTATTTTTATTTTTATGTTGTCGTTTTGTTTTTTTCTTTAAGTCTATGTTGTCGTTTTCACTCCTAATTGTCGTTTTTACAAGTCACAAAACACACAACACGCACAAACTCCTTCATTTCTCTCTGCCTCTCTCAGTCTCACCCTCACCTCCTTCATTTAGCAAATTGAAACTCTTTCTCTTGTGTTATTTTCATGCTATCTGCAGTTATATTTTGCGTTATTTATTCTAACACACACACAGACTAGTTATTCAGTCCAATATAGACTATTTTTCTTAGCTTCCAGTAAGAAATGGCATTGGGCGTTCTTTGAATTCTCAAATGCCATTTTTCTGGAATTTTAGATTCCTCTGAATTGCCTGAAATTCTTTGTTTTCTGCAATTTTCCTTTTCCGTTCCTCCTGTTTTTATGACTTAATTATGAATAGGATATTTATGCTTTATTTTGGCTGCCACCGACTATGAGCATATTCATTTTGGCTGCCTAGGCTATATATATATATATATATATATATATATTCAATATTCATAAGAATTGGAAAGTTAAAACTTAAAATCTCTAGTGTCATCTTTGGTACGAACAAATTCACACCCCTAGTTGAGCATATTCTCTAGTGTCAATATTCATAAGAATTGCCACCTACTGTGAGCATATTCATTTTGGCTGACGATATAATGGATTTGGATTCGGGTGAAGATAAAAGAGAATAAGAGGTTTATGAGAATTTAGAAATGAATTTCACTATTTAAAGTTAGAACTTTTTAATTATGCTTTGGACTTTTTAATTTCTTATGACAATTTAAATGTTTTTTACACTTGTGTTTGTGCAATTATCAATTTTGATGTTGTGCTTTATATTTATTTATTGTGATTACATGTTTGCAACTTTGTATTGAAAGAAAGTTTTACATTTTTTCATATTTTTTGGTCAAAAATGCAACTAAAGATGCTGGAAATCTGATGGTTAACTGAGGTCACCTTCCTAATTACCAAAATTAAAAAACCGACCAAAACCGACCGAAACCGAACCGAAACCGAAGTTTGGTTAACTGAACCGAATACTGCTACATGCAGTTCGGTTTTGGTTCCCACTTTCAAAAAACTGACATGGTCGGTTCGGCCACCAAATTGACCAAAACTGACAGTTTTTAACCGACGAACACCCCTATGATCTGCTACATCGTGTTCGGGTAGTAGCTTATAATTATGAAAATGCTTACGGCCATAGGCCACCATTGGTGCTAAGCACCGTTACTATTAGAAAGTGACTCCACATGTGGATCATACGTCACGGAATCCATTTTCTATAAGTAGGTAGTGTTAAACACTATCGGTGCCTTATAATATTATAACCACTCTACTGATAAGATTTTCGTAAAAACAAAAAAAAATCCACCAATCGCCATGGTCTGATAAGTATACAAAAAGATCAATAACATGACCCACGAGTCATCAAGTTGATTGCGATTCCTATGTTAGAGACAAGGAGGGAAATAACATATTTGGTAGAGTATTTAGTAAATTATAGTATATATTTTAACATAGTAGATTATAACATTAATTTGATATTTTAAGTTTTAAACATTATTGAAACCCAAAAAATACCTCTAAGCCTCATTTCCACCTTTCTCTCCTCCCCCCTATGGTCAAGTCCACCATAGTAGGCTCCAGTGACCAACTGTCGGCTCTGGTGACAAGCGTCGACGGCCGGTTTCCGGGAGCTAGTAAATATCGTATTTAGTAATAAATAATGTATTTATCGATAAATATCGTATTTACAAGCAAATAACATATTTATTCAAAAATCCAACCGCCAACACAGGCGACCAGTAAATATCATATTTATCTAAAAATCTAGTCATCAGCTTTGATGATCGTTAAATACTGTATTTTACTAACAAATATTATATTTATCGATAAATATCATCTTTACTTGTAAATTCCATATTTATCTGAAAATATGGACATCGATTACGGTGACCGTTAAATACCGTATGTAATGGTAATTATCATATTTATAAGTAAATATGGTATTTACTCGTAAATACCATATTTATTTAAAAATCCGACCGCCAGTGCCGGCTTCTATTGAATATCGAATTTACCGATAAGTAATTTTTACTCAAAATCCAGTCACTAAAATCGGCAATTAGTAAATATCATATTTTACAAGTAAATATTGTATTTATGTACTCGTAAATACCAGATTCCTAATTATAATTACAATATAAGGAAATACAATATTTATCATATTAAAAAATGTAATTGATAAAGTATTTACAGATAAATACAATACTTAGCAAATTCAAATTTGTAACTACTCAAGTATTTATTTATTGGTAAATACATTATTTACCAGAATTCTATTGACACAAACAAATGCAAACAAATGCTAATCTCAGAAACTTTTCTATAACATAATTTCTACGGACAATTTTTAAAAAAAATACAAAAGTACCTCAAATTATCTTCAATCTTAAACCTAACCTAGACTACTGACGTAACTCAAAACGCGACCATAACTTGCCACCGACTGCTGGCCGCACCTTTCCGTTGACGCCGTCGGCCACGCCTCGCCGTCTACGGGAGCATACATTGTGATATATCATCCAAACCTGTACAAACAAATCAACAAACCCAGACTAAAAAGAGAAGCAAAAATAAATCTGTCATTCGAACTTTCTCTGATCGACAGCGCGATTCTGCACTATCGCCAACCGTATACACCCTGCCATCGCCACACCGGCGGTCACTCGAGCAATGTCGCCGCCAAAGACAAGAGAACCTGCATCAAACATACACAATCCCAGAGAAACAAAACAAAAAAAAAGTGAAAAAGTGGAAGTTTTCAAGGAATTCTGCCGCCATCAGAATTGGAGCGAAGCCATCCAAAGGTCGGAGTCACACGCAGATTTATGCAAAGATTGAAGATCTCTGATTCCGTGACGGAGAACGCGGACAACGGTGAGAACTTCCGTTGGAGATAACGGAGAACACAACGAGATCACTGAGATCACCGTTGCCGTCGCGACTCCAACTTGCGACATCTTTGGTGGAAAGCACCGTCGGAGACCATGGTGATCTCCTCTGCCTTCACGACATTGTGAAATCTCTGCCGGAGTCGCCCAGATCGGAGGTGAGAGAATGGCGCGATGTCGTTTTTGCTTGGTACCGGGAGTCGTGAGATCGGAAGCGAGAATTCCTATGGATCGCGATGACGAGGAGAGAAAGAGGAAGTATAGTACGGCCGTTCATTTCACCGATTCGAATTTAGAATTTGAATTTTGTTACAGTAAAGTTTCGTTCACTTCACAGATTTGAGTTTTTAATTCGAGTTGAGATGTGGCATTTTCTGAAAGTTTTTAACTGTAGCAAAAAAAGTTAAATGTGACTGTAGAAATTTAGAACTGAAAACTTGAATCGGTAAAATAAACGAGGCCTAAAAAGTTTTTAAAAGCAGTCACATCTAACTTTTT